CTAAGAGGTTGATCCTCATCTCTGTCCATGAGAAAAGAAAGTTGTTTTGGTTTTTGTTTTTTTAAAACATATTTTTAGGATTGTCTTTAAATATTAAAATATCTTCTTATGCTCCCATGCTCCCCACAGACTTCTTGCAAAGATGGTCTACAATTTTAATAAAGAAATTACTTAAATGAATACCTTAACTTAGAACACATAAACCAAACACGAAGAAACTACTCACCCGTAGCACAGAGCCCTTCTGTAGCTACAGGGAGTGCTGCCTAACCCTCCCGCAACAACAGAGTCCAGGTAGGATGAGTGGGTGGAAGCTGCTGTGCGAGGGCTGGCACGCTGCCTGGTTGCACCACTCTGTCAGCGCCACTGTGGCACCCCAGGGTGACTGCAGGGCCGATGGGTAACGCTCACTGGGCAACTGGGCTTTCCTGGGAAGCCCTGTTAATTATACTGACCCACAGGACAACATCTACACGTCTGCCTAGGTTTAGACTGTGAGCTCTCCAGGACAGGGATTATTCTTCTATGGAAAGTGCCTACCTGATAGTGAGCACAACCTCAAATGAATTCTAGTAGCACTGGGTGATGTAGAAGAAAAGCAGTAATTTTGTCACATCATCTTTGCTATTTTTTCTCGGAGATACTCTTCTTCTGGCCTACCTCTAAATCATAGCATCTGTAAGGCTAACAAAAAAGCAGTAGTAAAAGCAAAAAAAAAAGTAGAAGCAGAAGCAAAACAGAGCAAGAAATACATTCTCATATGTAGTCTACCAACACGACTTCTACCCAGTTTCAAAGACTGGAAAACTAGCAGCTTCAGTTGAGCACTGAAGGGCTGAAACATTCGTTTCAGGTAGCGGGGTGGCAAAGAGCTCCTATTAACCGTTATTACTCTTGCAGGCTGTATTCACATGGGAGGATATTACTCTTTACATGGGTCCCAGCAAATGGAAGAAAAGTCTTGCTCTTGCAGGCAATAAACTATATTGCTAATTTACAGGTATAGTGTTTTGCTGACCAGTACATGTACAGATGGTCTTGCTTTCTCAGCAGCACTGGGATGCATTTTTGTTGCAACACATGAAGCAAAAGAGATCAGCCTTATCTTGTGTCTTACATCTCTGTGCGTGACAATGCAAAATTAATTACTTCAGTAAATTACTGCTTTAGAGACTACTGCCTTTGTGTGTGTACAGATTTTGAAATTACTCTTTATCAAGCTTTAAACTGTTTCATTAAGTTGCAACTTTGTAAAAACTGAATACACTTACTGCAACTTTTCCGTTTGCCAAGCAGGGTGTTTTATTTCCTTTCTTAAACGCCATGGCTTGACATCAAAGGGATAAATGGATAGACAGGAGCAAAACCAGAAAGGAAATAATGAGTTATCAGGTATGGCCAACATCTGTACTTTAAAGCTACACGATGCTTCATGAACAACACTTACATTATGGACTTGAGTTAGTCATAACCTCCCAGATCTGTGGTTGCCAACAGTTACTGCCTGGAGGAAAACAGTTAAAATTCTCCACGCCAGCACTACTGTGACACTGCCAGGTACCAATAATAGAGCTGTTCTTCCCATCAATTTCAGTGTGGTCAGCTACCAAAAATAGAAATAGAAATTTTCTATTGTAATTTTTAAAATTTCTATTTCTTTCTATTCTTTTTATTTCCATTATCTTTATTTATTTCTATTTTCTAGTCTATAAAAACTAGAAAATATCTGAGAAAACTAAATTTGCCACATCATAAGAGTTCTTGGCTGCACTGGTATCACAGTGCAGGATACCTGTGGTCTCCTAAACAAGGAATAGTTTGAAGACATACAATGGTAGTGGTGGGGATGTTACTGTCCAGTTCTAGTGCCTGTTTTTATGCACATCACTCTGCTAAGGACTGAGAAAGGTAAAGTAAGTACAAGTGTACCTCAAATTACTGGAAAGCAGTGATATTTGTGCCAAACCCAACTGTTTACTTCCACTTAACCTTACACTTCGATTTAAAAATAACTGAGTAAATAAATCAAATAATCTTTGCTACCTTCACATACTGCCTTACTAAGAAACTTAGTGCATACCATCTATTTTGCCTAGCACGAACAGCCATATTAATATTTATGCTGCCATAATTTGTATTCTTACAGATTTACATCACAAAGTCCAAGTCCTGCAAAATTTTTAGCAGTAATTGTTATAGTCACACAACTAATCCAACAAAGAACCAACTAGATTTAACGAGGTTTTTTAAAAAAAAAACAGACTGACCCTGCAAGGTGAGGCAGTAAAGTACCAAGCGCAGAACTAAAATAAAGAACAGCCAGCAGGGTTACAAAGCAAGCAGCAGGTGGCAGAAAGTGTCTACTGAAGTGTAATTCGGAATAAATCAGCCAGAGCGCTCTGATGCTAGCATCCCAACAGAACAGCTACAGAAACAACCTTTACATTATTATTTATGCTACCATCACTTAGGTTACAGCACACAGAACAAAACCTGATAAAATATTCTGCAGCCATTTTCCAAGAAGAAACAAGTATTTGTCTTACGAACACAGAAAAGCTACCACTATCAGTGAAAAATCCAGGCTTCACTGAATTAAAAATTGTCTCACGTAAAGCTGTACAGCTATAGGTGGGGAAACCCAAATTAAGCATCCAAGTTAACAATAGCAAAGACAAAAGCATGGGAAACAGAGATTCCCCCAGTTAGCAAAGCTAATTCCTAAATGAAAATTCAAAGAGTTACTGCACAATTAAGTGTCTTAGTTCTGCTGCTATGACTTGATAGTTTGAAAACAAGTAAGCACACTGAGTATGAAGCAAACAGTACAAAAAAGGATGGTTTTAAAGGTGTCATTTTATCTGTTTCTGAAAGAGATGCAGCTAGCTGTGCCTTCTCTTGTGGATGGAATAGTCAGTAAGAAAATGTCTAATGCTACCACATTTATCTAATTGATAAGTAATTTTTAATGAAATCAAGCAAGACTAAATGTATACAGTAATAGAATTACTCTGGCTTGTGCATGTTGGTGCAAGCATACAAGTTTAGATGCCAGTGTTAAATTAATCAAATGTGGCATTTATTTGTTATGCAGTAAGACACAAGAGGAGCATTTGGAAGAAAATATCCTATTGACAGAATGAATTGTAGTTTTGACCAAAATAATTTCAGAGCTCATTAACGAAGTTATGTAAACTGACCAAACCTCTCCCTATTATGTTAATTCATTCTTTCGCCTTTGTTACAGAAAGGTCATTTATTAGTTCCTTATTCATACAAAAAACAGATTTACGGGAAAAGTTATCAACTACATTTTTACAAATGTGTATGTGATTCCTCAGGCAAGCACTGCAAGCTTTTTTTTCCTTTGATCAGAAATTATTCCAAAGAAACACTGAAATATGCAATTGCAAAAGCATCAATTTCTGTGCTTAGAATTCTGTACTTTCAGTGAAAGTAGCCATGGTTTTTGAAACAAACAAAAACCCCCAAACACCACAGTTCTTCACAGAGAGAGACCACAACTTGAACCACTAAACTGCATTCTAGATAAGCAACGCACAAATCAAGAAATACCAGAGAAATTTAATCTCGATTTGGAAAATGAGGCATCTAGTTTCATGCTACACTTTAATAGAACTGTTTAAATTCCCAGAAACAAATTCTGAAATTACATCACAAAATAAAATATTTAAACAATATTTAGTTATGTACATTCTGCTCCAAAGATGGGACTGTGGAAATTCTTTACATTTCTCTTAGAAACACATAAAAAACAGAGCACAAGTCAACAATCCACTGGCAATTAACAGACACAAGTCACCTTAAAGGAAATACACCCCTGGAAAGTTTTAATCTATTGCTGCTTCAGTAACAGCATTTCAGTGTCTCTTCATACTACTTCAAGTATTTTGTCCTCCTGGCCCCAAAACATCATATCCCAGTTTACCTTGCATGTTGGACGATTACTCGTTAGAGTATGTTTTTCACAGAAAAACATGACAAATACTAAGAAAAGGAAATTAGAAGTTCAGAAAATTATAACACAGAAGAGTCTGGGCTGGAGTACACTATATAAATCATCTAAAACAGAAGAAAAATTAAAATTGACTGTGCCCCTCTGATACCTTACCGTACATATTTTAGCAAAACTTTACATGGCTTACCCTTCGTCTTACTTCAAAACACACCACTTACATTACTACTTAGAAAATAACACAGATAAAGTAACTAGTTTGTTAGACTGTCAGAACAAATAGTTTAAAGCTCTTTTACCAGTCCAGACAACATGTACATTCATTTGAATGGGAGTTCATAGCAAGTGCTGCAAGAAAGGAATTACATTCAGAGAAATGGATATCAATTTCTGTTCCACATTTGCCATCAGTATACACTAATAATGATCAATTCGGGTGAGGACAGCATAACAAAAATCCTCTTACATACCCCGAAGTTCAAATGAATCATTTGTTATGGAAAAATAATTAAATGCAATAGTTTTTCCTACAGGTAACTGGATTTCACATGAAGTGGAAATTGTTTAGTTCTGGTTGTGTTTTATTTTGCCACAGAAAATGAAGAAACTACAACTTCTAATCCCACAGCAATCTGCTTAGACCACACAGTCTGCCTGCTGAATCATTACAGAGCAACAGTTCTCCGTTTTGACTCAAATGTTCGCAGAAGCACAAATTCATTAATCTTTGCATTGTGCAAACATCAATTTTGAGAATCTTTAGTGTTCTGCTTCCCCTCCTCCTAACCAATTCAGTTGGGAAATTACTCAGAAGTCACTTTAAAGCTATTCTTAAGTTACTTGATGACAAAAAATTAAGACTGCTGCAATGAAGCGAGCTTTCAGGCAAATGCACTTTCTTCAGTTTCTTCAGTTCATGAGAGACAGAGCAAACTAAGGCTGCACAAAAAGACAGTATTCATGAACCAGGGCATCAAAAAAGATCCCAGCTTATATAAAGGCTGGCTCAGAGCAGTTTTAGTGAAACAGGCAGCCCCTGAAGCACAGAGATGAGAACGGAACTTTAACTAGTATTCTGTATTTTGTCTGAAAAACATGTATGCCAGTCACCAAATCTCTTTCAGAATTCTAAACACCAGAAGAACATGGGTATTTAAAACTGTGATGCCCAAGTTCTCCTATATACATATATATAAAAAATTTAACTTATATTATAATATCAAACTGCATAGCATTACAAAAGAAGGCAACCTGAATGGCTAAAATGAAAAAATTTTAATGTTCCCAACTCTATTATTACCATTCCGGAATTTGTAATATCGTAGAGTAGACTGTTGCTAGTAACAGCTATAGCCCGGTTTAAGCAAAGCCTGCCTTAATTCCAGAGAATGCAGAAATGATTAATTTGGACAAGTTGTTGCATGCTCTGCTTTCACGTCCTCCTAGCAGGTTTTGCTGTTAACTGCTTCTCTCTTTCAAGTTCCTTCTCACGTTGCTGTTCTCGTTCTAGTTCTTCCTTTTGTCTCTTTTGTTGCAGCTTAAGTGCTCTTTTCTAAACAGAAAAGAAAATAATTATAAGTTTTGTAGCTGTATTTAAGTTGAAGCTACAAACAAAATCTCTTAATGATCTCTTCTTCAATCCATCCCGCTTATGACTGAACGTTACATAAACTGTTCATTTTTTCTTCTCCCTCCCCAACTTCCATCTTACTGCTCAGAAACAGCAAGTCTGTGATCTACACAGGAAAAAATACAAACTAGATTCCCTTCAGTCTCACTAAAAGTCATCCTTCACACATAGCAGACAAGGTGCGTTCCCTGCAATTTATTGCCTCCAAAAGAAAATCCTTTTGTTGAATGTACTGAAGGACTAACCTTTCCAGAATGCAACCAGAGACTGCCTGTAGAGCATGAAGTCAGTGAACTTATGCCACTGTTAATATTACATTAAATAGAAGGAGAAATTCTTACATTTATGACAATCTAGTTTTCATTAAAAAGGCACAGAAACTGAAACAAAGAGAACTAGTTGGAATGGAGTGGATTAAGCAACACAGCATAATTCTTATACCACCTAAACATCATGACAACACTGAGATTTACAAGTAATTCAGATGCATAAGTTGCTGGAGCACAGGTGGAAGGGAAAGTTTAAAAACATCCATTTAAGATAAGGATTGAAGATTCTATTTTAACCGAACTTTCAGCATGCATCCAAAATAAAAGTTGGAAGTCAATAATACATAATTAAGTATCTATATTGGAAAGTAAAAATATTTATTCCACTCACTTTTAACTTTGATGTCTTCTCATGAAGCATCATCATTTCATTTCTAATATTCACTAACTTGCTGTGATAGTGTTTAGCTTCTGAAAACTTCAAAAAAACATAACCGTTAAAGCAGTGACTGTCAAGTCAGAACAGTTGTTTTATAAAGCTACACAGCAAAACAGCAATCAAAAACATAGCGATTACCAGAACAGCTTGATAATGGATTAAACATGTTCAAGACTCTGTATCAAACTTACATATTACATGTATTAATACAGGAAACTACCATATCTCAGCAGGTACACCCAGTAATCTACTGAATTAAGATTCATTAAACAGAATAAAAATATTACCATTTTATGCACCATGTTTCATGCAGCCCCCGCTAGTCTGGAGAGGTGCACAGAGCTCATGTTGGAGCCTCAGTCCTACCAAAAAATGGCATACATTTGCTTTGGCTACTGGTTTTGAACAACTACACTTACTACCACTGGCTGACTGAGCCTGCTCTTTTTTCCCAGTGCCCTTCCTATTTAAGGGAAATATGCTGGTGCCACACACTCTCCAGCAACAATTTGTTCTGAATATCTGAACTGGTTGGTTCTCTTCCTGTAGGTCACGAAGAACAAAGGAAATATGCAGGTTGCTACTAATGCTTCAGCAAGAAAATCTATACTAGTAGAGATTTAAGAAAGCATTATTAGTACTTACCAAAGCGTTGATATCAAGAATGGAGTTACACTCTTTGAATTTTGAAATTTCTTGTTCTAATGTTTCTAGTAATACCACTTGGTTCTGTCTGAAACAAGAGAGAGATGCATAAAACCAAAGTAAAGCAGCACATATGCTTTTCAACCAGCCCTTTAAATAAATACTACTTTTGATCATAACAATATAAATACATGCTTACTAATATCAGATTCCTCTTATGCGTTGCTAGGCGATTTCAATAAAGATAGGAGTAAATGGTTTTAGAAAAATCCCAGCTGAGTATACACAACTTCAGCTGGCATCATACAGCATGATAAGATATCCAGGATGGATATGCAAAACCCCTGAACAGGCACTCTGCAGGCTGCAGTGAGTAAACACCCCAGATCTAATGAAGGGAAAAACAATTACCTCCTGACTTTCCACTCAGTTGCCTCTGTGTCATGCTGCAGGACTAAGTTATTTCTGTATAGAACTTGCATGGATATCCTTGGTGCTGATTAAGGATCTTCCATCTCGCACAAATCAGACTAAGTCTTTCTAGACACAGGCTGCCTTGGGCAGCAGCATAACCACAGCATGCATTGTGAAACCCAAACCAGTGTACCCTGCAAAACCTGAGATGGCTCTGTGTAAAGCCCTTTCCAGTATCTTTGCATCCATGGCAGATCTAGTCTGCATCTGAAATGAACTATTCTCAGTTATCAGTGAGATGCCAATGTACAAAGTATTTCTGTTTAGCTCCTTAATTATATTTTCCAACATGGCTTAGAGACTGGCCAACAAACAACATACTGCACTACAAGCTGCCCTGAAGATGAACTGCATCCCTGCAAGCAAAATAAATCCAGCTTTCAGCAGACTTTCCACTGCAGAAGTGAACAAGTATTTAAGAAATCTGCATGCCTTCTGCTATACCTGACTTAAGGGATTTTAGTGTTCTAGCCATTACACATTCTTCAGTCAAAATTCTGATAGGCTACCCTGCAGCTTATGCAGCTCCCAACATGCCTGCAAATCACTTAACTATATAGGACCTTACAGTCAGAATGCAGAAATGGTACAATAAACTTATTCCAGTTAAGGGTAGCTAGAACATTATCTTGGAAAAAGTGGCAAACAAAGTATGCAGATATAAGAAGTTGCTTTCAAAAATTTGCTTACGTAAGTTCCTGTAGTGCTGATTTTGATCGCTGAAGATCAGGCAAATAATGAGAAATCAATCCTTCAGTTAGTTGCTCCACAGCTTTTTCATCTATTAGAAGCAGATCTTCTACTACTCCTTCATCTGGAGATGCATCAGTAGGACCTACACCAGAGAAAAACAAGGTTGAATGTGATAGGTCAGCACGCCCCTCAAGTTTCACCTAAAGCAACTATATGTTCCTGTTTAAAAGTTCAAAGCATTTCAACACTGAAGTTATAATTCTTTGCACTTTATCAACTAGATGGTGTTTCCTTTTTCCTCCCCCTCTTTATCCCTCCCCTATTCCCAATCCTATATCATGACCTTCCTGGTGAACAGTTTTATCTGAACACCAGCAGAACAGAAAAAGAGAAATAGTATTACAAAGTTATCTTACTAAAAATTCCAAGTACTCCAGTCTGCTAAAGAAAAAAAGGTGGCGGTATCAGTGGTTCCGGCTATGCATCAAGAATACCTAAACATTAACACCCACCCACCCTTTGCTTTCAACGTTAGAGAATAAGCCTAGGTCTACCAAATAAAGGCCTCAGCCTTTCACACACAAAACATATGCGGATCCCAGTAAAACACCACACACTGAACCCCAAAACTTTGCAAGAGTTAGTTAATAGTTACTGCAAATTTCGAATAGGTAAGCTATGAATTTATTGCGCGCAAAGCTCTCGGAAGATAAAAATCTTTAATCTACAGGGCACACCACACCGGAGAAAACGACGACAGCGGCACGCATTGCGCTTCCGAGCGAACCCGGCCGCAAGACTCTGACCGCCCTCCCCAGAGCAGGCGCTGGCGCCAAAGCTCGGTCCACGGCGGCGTGCCCCGCGCGCTCT